ACACCCAGGAGTCTCAAATTACAGATAAACTCTGTAAAAATATACATTTATACAAGTGTTAACAGGCAGACATTCATTAGAGATATTAAACTTTGAAGATGAACAACATCACTGGGTCCAGACATCATGTTTTAGATGAAGTGAAGTTTTGGGATGATGGGAGAAAAAAACCAAACAGTGAACGTAAACAGTGTGAAAAACTGATTTATTGAATGAAACCTACAGAGCAGCTTTCAACAGAAGAAACGAGGTAACATGAGTTCACTTTGCTGAAGCCAGTGTTTAATCCTGAACATTCCTCAGTGTTTAAGATAATTAGGATCTATCCACTAACATTGTTTTCCTGTGAATTAATCAAGGGCCTAAAACCTTCCTGACTGCGTCTTCAGTCAACTTTAATTCAGCCACTGAGGTTAAATATTTGCATAACTAACACAATTTGCTGCAATTTTCATAAGCAAATAGGAAAATAAGTATGTTTTCATGGGCTACACAATCTCTCTTTCATTTTCACATTTCTGTATTCATCTTCCCCTTTGACCGACTTTGATTTTTTTTCTTTCCAAACTCTGTCTTCACCTCCCAGGTTTATCTTCCTCCTCCTCTGTTACATTCCTCTCCTGTTAAATTTAAATTCTTTTCCACATCTCGTCACGTCTCCTTCTCCTGAGCTGCTACTCCTCCGTCCGGCCCCAGCTCACGGGAATCCACTGGGGTTCGTTCTGGGCCTGCTGGATGATGGAGCAGAGCTGAATGCAGGCGTCCTGGAGGTCGTCGTTCACCAGAACGCTGTCGAAGAACTGCTTGTACTTGGCCTCCATCAGCTGGGAGGCCTCCTCCAGCTCCACAAAGTCGTCCTCCTGCAAAGGAAACCACAGGTGAGACTGCAGCGCCGACCAACAGCGTTCAGCTCTCTTGGAAGTGTTCCTCATTTGTTGCTTTTCACAAAGACTCTGTCAGTTTGATTTGGCTTTGTGACAAAATTGAAAAAAAAAAAAAAAGTCTGTTTCATGTTAAACTATAAACAGTTTTCAACAAAATAATGTAATTATTTAAACTGTAAGATATAAAATACATGATTCAAGTCAGTATTGAGTAGATGCGCCTGTATGGGTCTCAATCAGTGTTGAACATCTGGATGCTGCAGTTTCACCTCATTCTTCTCATGAAACTGTTCAGACTCTGTCAGGTTCTACAGGGGTTGTGAGTAAACAGACCTCTTTAGTCCAGACACTAATTCTCATTAGGACTGAGGTCTGGACTCTGACTGGGCCTCCAGAGCTTCACCTTGTTGTCTTTAAACCATTTCTGTGGAGCTTTGGCTCATTGTCTTGATGGGAAACACATCTTCTCCAAGTCTGAGTTCTCCTGCAGACTGCATCAGGTCGTCCTCCAGGATTTCTCTACACTTTGCTGCATTCATTTACCCTCTCTAACCTTTACAAGCCTTCCAGGGCTGCTGCTGAGAAACATCTCTCCATCATGATGCTGCCACCGTCGTGCTTCACNCAGTGGAGCAAGGAGGCCAACAAACCTGACTCAGTTCCACCAGTTCTGTCAGGAGGAATGGACCAGAACTCATCAGACTGTTGTGAGAAGCTTGTGGAAGGAAACCCAGAATGTTTGACCCAAGTCATAGAGTTTAAAGGCAACGCTAGCAGATACTGAGGAGATGGATGGAAACTTCTGACTCTGAGGAAAGTCATAAAAAAAACTCTCTCTCTCATTATTGTGCCGTTTAGCAAATAGAGCTAATGTTGGTGATCCTGACTGACCTGAAACAGGAAAGGTTTAGTCTGATTGAATGTCAGACAGAGAGAAAACAGGTTGTATTTCTTTTAATACAGTGGATGTAAACTTCTGGTTTCAACTGTATTTTATTGCTCGTCTCTAGACTCTAATTTGTTTCCAGACTTGTTTCTGTATCAACACCTGCAGGTCAACCGAGTTCAGCCAAAACGTTCTTTAATGCAGCTCATGTACGCTGGGCTGAGTCTTGTGAAATAGTAAACGGTTTGAACCAAATGATCCTAAATGATATTCATACATCTACTTTTTCTGTTCCAGGACTGGGGCCTCGGATTAATCAGTGGTTTTCTACTCATCTGGAGCATCGTTGAAATTAGACGAGCCTACTGCACGTCCAAACACCAGACCTGCCCTTCTTACTACAACGCTTATTATGAAGAACTTCTGGCAGAGCAAGTCAGTAGCCACCTGAACAACGAGCTAAAAGAAATAGCAACAGAAAAAGCTAAAGCAATCTGTGGACCCTACGTTAAGGTTATCAGGATTGGCGAACTGGATGCGGACAACGGGACTGGCGCCAACAAAGTTTCAGAAGCCTGGAAGAAGATCTCATCCTCACGTTTCTATTCAACGGACCCTGAGGAGACGCAACCTAACGTGANTGTTGTAAATTGTTGTTAATAAAGCCAAATCAAACTGACCATGATTCAATGTTGAAAAGGTTTTGAAGGCAACATATAATTATTGGGTCTTAACTTTAACATCTGAATTACTGAGGTAAACACAGTCTTAACTCCACGGTAACTTATTCCTTTGAACCATTTTCTTTCCCACAGATAAGAATGAGGATCTTGTTGATTTCACTGCACGAGATAATCTATCGGGGAAAATCCTCTTTGGTTCATTGGAGAAGTGAAAGCTTGCCGTGACATGATTGTGAAAAAGCACTAAAAGTTGTCACATGGGGGTAATGGCTTTTTTAAAAGTGCAGTACATGGTTCAGAAGAGTCTCAGTTCTTCACTCAGCTTGTGGACGACAGAACTTCACTCAGATCTTGTGAGAACGAGAAGACAACAGCACCGGAGCAAGAAAACATCTTAAACTTCTTCCTTTAATTTTCCTTCACCTCCGCTCAGCCAGCATGCATTCCGTCGGCACCGACTTAATCCACAGAATTCTTGAAGTCATAAAGAATGCAGTGAGTACGTTCCTGCTGATCGTCGTCTTCTCCATCCTGCAGTACATATTCAACATGCATTTTGTCTGCTCTTGCACACTAGGCATGTATTACAATGGTATATTGTACCTGTCGCTCCCTCCTTTGATCCTCACCTTTGTTGTCGTCATGTTTGAGCGTTTTCACGAAAGGAAGATTTTTTCCAGTCGGCTTTGGTTCAATTGCATGAACTACAACGAGTGTTTCCTGAGCTACGCTTTGAAGATGTTCCTCAGGTACATCAGTCTGGGTGCTGTGTGGATATCCATCGTCCTCCTTGATGGAGATTGGTACTTTTGCCTGATGACAAACCTCAACACGACCCACACTGGAATTCCCTGCCTGAAAACTCTGACCTACAACCAGCAAGTGATTGAAAATCGTTATAAGACCGAATCACATGTAAGTAATATATATGTTTAGAATTTGATATTTGAAATTATTTACAACAATAGTGCAAAACAATTCAGGAAAATTGGGAATAACCTTGTTCAAAATTATTTGATTGTGTTTATCTATTTTCTCACATTTTTACTCACTGTGGGCTCATTTTTCACTGCAATATAAAAACCTGCATCGCCATGGAAACAGTACAACCATGACTACAAGCAGAGAACTGAAAATGTCTTCTGTGCATTATAATACAGTGGAAATGTCAAAAATAATTTTAAAAAACCCAGAAAGCTCTGTTGTTGATGATCTATTTTGCAAAAAACAAAAAACAGCTGGAATCAATCAGGACAACATTCTTCCAAGTTCCCACAGGTGTTACCAACACTGGAAAACAAATGTGACCTACATACTATAGATACTGAGTACTTTAATTTTAACAACTTCTACAATCGAGGCGTTTTTTTAAACACTGTTCTGTCACTAGAAAGATGTTTCACATGCTGAATATATTTTCCAACAGCTTGCGCCTGTGTTTACCGTTTTTGACTCATGCTGCATTTACAGTTGAAACCAGAAGTTTAGTTACACTGTATAAAAAGACATAAAACCTTTTATTTCTCACTATCTGACATTAAATGTGACTAAACTTTTCCTGTTTTGGGTCAGTTAGGATTACCAACATTAGTTCTATTTGCCAGAATAATGACAGAGAGAATCTTTTATTACTTTCTTCAGTCAGAAGTTTACATCCACTAAGATGCCTTCAGACTATTTGGGAAAGCCCAGATGATGATGTCATGACTTTGGAAGTTTCTGATAGGTTAATTGACAGCATGTGAGTTAATTGGAGGCACACCTGTGGATGTATGTTAAGGCTCACCTCAAACACACTGCTGCCTTTTGTGACAACATGGAACATCTAAAGAAATCAGCCGAGATATCAGGAAGAGAACTGTGGACCTCCACCAGTCTGGTTCATCCTTGGGTACAACTTCCAGATGCCTGAAGGTTCCACATTCATCTGTTCAGACAGTTCTATCAAGTA